GTCCTGTATATATTTGTTCAAATATTGCCAGCGTATCACTAAATTACGATCGTTAGATATTATCGAAAAATGGTGAACGAAATGGCAAAGGTAGAAGTAAAAGTGAAAAATGATTTGAACAACGTTCTCTCTGGTTTTTTACCTCCTTTGCAGGGTACTCTATGCGTTGAATGTTGAGCGCGGTAGCCAGTGATCATTTCGTAGTCTCCTGAATCGCGTCTCACGGGAAAAGTGGTTTGGAGGATATGGTCACATGGTTCCATTAGCATTAAGATACCCTTCACCTTTTTCTTCCTCTCTTCCACGCTCATCCTCGAGCGTTTCCCGATATCCTCCACTAACTTGTCCTCGACGATTTGACAAGCTCGGTGAAAAAAGTACTCGACCATATCGAAAAATTTTGGGTTCGCATCCTCGGGAATATTCTTCAGACGATCGGGTATCTGATGATCGGCGTAACCGCGTGTTTGAAACGCCGGTACGACACGTATCAGTGTGTTGCGAATAATGTCATTGCTCGGTACTTGCTTCAAGGCGATCGAAGATCTTGCAAGTCTCCTTACGTGAAACATTTTTCTACGTTGTTTCCTCGTTACCGTTCAAACTTCACCAACCTTTTGATTAACAATGCGTCTTCCAACTTTTTCCTACACGATGCACGCGCTCCTCCTTCTTTCCCTTTCTACTCCTTCGTCTTACGTTTCGATCCTCTCGGAGCTCGGTCTCTCGCCCGACTGCCTCGGCAATCGCGTTTCTTTTCTACCGATCGAAACAACCTTACCTTTCCACTCTATTCACGACACAATTTCTCTATTACGTACTATCTCACTAAACCTGCCTGCCAACTGGTCCAATAGCTTCAGTAACACTTGATAATTTCACATTCTCTATACGATACGACCCTAGCGTTAACAAAATTCCTAGCGTTAGCCAACATTCGCCATAAAACTTACCTATACAACTTCCTCACGATTCCGTTGTATTCGCGGTTTTTATTTATCAGTGACCAATCGACGAGTAGTGAGTAGTTAAGGTGCACAACAATCGCGCCTATTGTGCGATTGGCAGACAAAATTCTGTAAAACGTTCCCTGCCACGAGTTTCACGCAATTAAAATAATAATCATGGAAATATCCGTAGTTAGGTAAATTTTCTATCGACCAAAATAAATAAAACGAGAAAAACCAAACGAGAAAATATTCAGCTGTGAATAGCGTAAATTCCACACGCTGAAACGTGAATCATCTTGAAGTGACGTCAAATTTAAATTATCAATGTCGAGTGAAAGCTGAAGTTATTATTTCTGCTATAAGTCGGCGGGGGATTTATACTTTTGTTAAGTTTATTGTCCATCCTTGATAGTTAAATGTTTGCTGCGTATGTATTATACACACATACATACACGTACTTAAATAATGCCGCTTTTTCATCGTTGAAACCTTATCTTCGAGAGTGAGTAAACTTGTCTGTTGGTACTTGAAAGATATAACCTAAGTTTTGTAGTTTTTCCCGACGCGGAGACGTTCTGCCCCTATATATGTATCTATGTTCCTTACGTATATATAGTGCGCATTTGTATAATGTTTGTAACATTATAAAGTAATAGTTATGTGTGATAAATTGATTGTACGTAATTTTCGTGTATATTTAAACAAGTAATAGACACAAAATCAAAATTATGTCAAAAAAGTCGACTCCTTCGAATTTTGTTAAACAAAATCAACCTGCACTTATTAAAAAATTTGCTCGTGAAATTAGTGAAAAGGAAAATGATATAACATTTCAATCTTCGGGAAGAGAAACTTCTGAGGAAGAAGCGTGCAAAAGACAGCTTGCGAGAAAATTTCAAGCTAACGATAAATGTCGACGTAAAGGTAGAAATAGTGTATTAAAATCAGATGGTACCGTGAAATGCGACGAAAATGCAGGATATGCATCGAATCATATTAAAAAATTGACTGCCGAAAGATTATCAACTGAGGATTTATGCTCAAAAAAATGTGTACGAGAGACAGTAGTAAATTGTGGAACAAATCGTGGAAATGTTTTCAAGCAGGTATTATTCATGTATTTTGTATTTGTTGTATAATTACCTCTTAGATGCATATATTTTGTGTAGAAAAAACAAAATATTTCCAAAACAAGAAAAAAGGCGAGTAAAGAGGAGGAAAGGGTAAGAACAAATTCTAAATGTGAAAATACAAGTGCAACGTGTGTAAATACTGAAGAGGAGGAGGAGAAGGAGGAGGAGGAGGAGGAGGAGGAGGAGGAGGAGGAGGAGGAGGAGGAGGAGGAGGAGGAGGAGGAGGCGGAGGAGGAGGAGGAGGAGGAGGAGGCGGAGGAGGAGGAGGAGGAGGAGGAGGCGGAGGAGGAGGAGGAGGAGGAGGAGGCGGAGGAGGAGGAGGAGGAGGAGGAGGAGGAGGCGGAGAAGGAGGAGGAGGAGGAGGAGGAGCAGGAGGAGAACCATGTAAAAACTGACCAGAAATCTATGTCCTCCGAACAAAAGGAGACATTTCCACAATATATCCCAGAAAAGGAAATTAATGAACTTTTAGAAAATCAAAATTCCAGTGACAATCGATATGTAGAAGGATATTTACGTATTAATCCTCAGTGTTACAAATATGCTTTTTTATCTATGTCTGACGAGTGTGATCTATTGATCTTTGGTTTAAGGGATAGAAATCGAGCCTTTCATGGTGATCTTGTTGTAGCATGTATAAATCCCCAAGAACAATGGCAAATGTACCAAGGACAGAAACAAAAAACAGCTGTTGTAGTTTGTATACGAAAGAAAATACATCCAAGGAAAACAATTGGATGTTTAAAACAGCGTGGCATGTCTACATTTTTTTATCCCAGAGATCACAGTGTGCCGTTGATTAAAGTAAATAGAAAATCACTGCAACAATTTGCCGTGTGTCCAAGTAGTTATGAAGGCACATTATATTTAGTTGTTATAACTGATTGGGTGACACCTCAGTTTGCACAAGGGTATAATAAAAATTTATAAATGAAAAAAACTGCAAGTTTCGAAAATTGTTAAACTATTATGTTGTTTGCAGGAAAATTGAGAAAATAGTTGGAAGTATAGGTGATATAGAAGCAGAATCAAACGCGATATTACTTGAATATGATTTAGATGTCACACCTTACAGCCAAGATGCGATAAAAGAGATTCCAAATGGTGATTACTCTTTCACAGAAAATGATACAAAAGATAGGGAAGATTGGAGACACGAATGTGTTTTTACTATTGATCCTGACACTGCGGTCGATCTAGATGATGCAGTTTCTTGCAAACTTTTGCAAAATGGCAACTTTGAAGTAATTTTGTTGTTTCATAAAGCTGTTTTCTATCCCCCGTTCGTTTATCCATTCAGATATTGTGTATTTTTTTTTTTTTTCTTTTATTATAGATTGGTGTGCATATATCAGATGTTACTCATTATTTGGAATTTTTATCTCCGTTAGATATTCAGGTTTCAAAACGAGCAACGACTGTTTACATGACAGATAATGTGTACCATATGTTACCGAAACAATTATGTCAACTATGTTCTCTATTGCCTGGACAGGATAAATTGGCTTTTTCTGTTATATGGGAAATTACACGAAATGCCGAAATTGTCAAACATCGCTTTGCTAAAACTATAATAAAATCGTGTTGTCAAATGGCTTATCAACATGCGCAGAAATTTATCGAACATCCGGAAAATAATTGGTCAGATGATTTTTTAAAGATAAACGGCAACTTCAGTATTAATGATTTATCGATGAAAGTAAACATTTTACACGATCTAGCCACACAGATACGTGCTAAAAGATTTCAGAACGGCGCATTACAAATAGATCAACCAAAATTACATGTTAGAATTGATAAAATTACAAGTTTACCGATATCGTATTGTATAGAAGAACAGCACGATAGCAACAGGTAATTGTACTTTTTTTTCAAGATAATATCTTTAATGTGTGTTACTTAAATTACAGTATAATTGTATATATATGTATGATGTGTGCATGCATGCGCGCGCGCGCGTATGTAATGTGTAGGTATGTATGTATACATGTATATTTTAGGCTGATAGAAGAGTTTATGCTGCTAGCTAACATGACGGTTGCTACGCAGTTGTATGATGCGATTCCTGAGACTGCTTTATTGCGTAATCATAAAGAGCCCTCAAAGTATATTCTCAGTATGTCTAAAGATATTCTACAGAGATTTGGTATTCATTTGGATATAAAATCGTCAGCGTCTTTGCATGCTAGTATTAAACGGTATGAGCAAGAATTTGAATCTGAAAGCAATGAATCAAAAACAACAATGAAATATAGGATGATGGTTATCAATAATCTTTGTTCAAAAGCTATGACTGTACGATTCATTCTTTGTTCCTTCTTATTATTACATACTGGTTAATACACCTATAAACATTTCAATAATTTTTCACGTTCTCAGCGAGCAACATATAAATGTTCGTCTACTGTAAAAGTGGAAGAGGATTTGAGACATTACGCTTTAAATGTATCGCTTTATACGCATTTTACTTCTCCAATTCGACGATACGCGGATTGCGTAGTACACCGTTTACTTTATTCAACTGTAACAAGTGTAGCATTGCCCCAGAAATGGTCCCGAAAACTGTGCATACAGTAAGTCAGTTAAAAAAAGAAGTGAATAGTTGATTGGTACAATAATAAGTATAAACGTGTGCGTTTAACATTTTAATGTTGTTTGTTTTTATCACAACAGAATAGCGGCGAATTGTAATATAAAGAAGTATAGCGCAAAAGTGGCCCAAGAACGAAGTTGTGAATTATACTTTACATATCTGATAGATTTAAAAGGTCCTATTATTACCATGGCTATTGTATTGAATGTAAAGGAAAATTTTATAGATGTTATACTATGTCAAGTTGGTATAAAGTTAAGGGTTTTCTTAGCAGAGTTAAAAGATTTAGCAACTGTTTCATATTCTTCGGAATGTTCGGTTCCGACGATAAGCATTTCCTGGAAACAACCTGCTGTTACTCAGGTAATGTAAAGAAGTAAGCTGATGTCGTACGTAGTATGACTATAAATCATGAATATACGGAGGAGTAATATAAACAATATAATAACTTGCCTGATATTTTTCAGGTAATAAATACATTTACTTTATTATATTTGAGGGTGGAGAAACATCCTGAATCCTTTAAATTAATCGGTAATCTGTTACCACTTAACGAGGAACTAAAGTAATAACTATTTATGCTGTGACTTTACATTTGGAAAGTATCATTGTAAAAATATTTTGTATTTCTTTATTCGTTTATATATACATAAATGACACGTCGGCTGTGTACACATATTGGGGGGGGATTGAATTTATCCCTATTTGATAAATGAAGTTTTGAAAGAAGTTGACAGGAATAATAAATCATACTTTCCACAAGGACATTATTTATTATTTCAATTACGTTTTAATATACATCGCGGAAATATCTTTACATATTTTGTGATCGTACAGTTTCTCATTGATATCTGAACGATTAGTACTTATACAAATAAATAGTCCTTACTTATACCTAACTTTATATCTGCACATAAAATTACGTTTACGATGTGCAAAGCGTATATCCTAATTGCATACGAAATAAACTATGATTGCGGAGTTTATTGTGATTTCTACGGAAAGGAGATCTCTCGTATAATAAGTTCACTGATTTTTTTTTTTCTGTATTTCTTTTGGCGTAATTACATTTATGCGACAAATTTTGTTTCACAATATATTGTGTTCGTAATATCTCGTCAGTAGATAAAACAAGTTTCGCATGATTAACTGAAAAAATAATGGTTAACGGGCAAATTTTTCAGGAAATATGACTCTTTATTTTCACCAATGTATAAATATCTCTTAATTTCACTTCGAATAAATCGTTCTAGACATATTCAATTCTGTACAATAAAATACGATTGCGTTATTCTTTCAGTTAAAATGTAGCCTTACTTTCATAATAGTACGCGCTTTGAACTTTATTTTCTAAGGATTCATTGGAGTGTAATTGAACTTTGTACATTGAATTTTTTCAATGTCGAAAATTGAAGTTTCGGATGTATATGTACCTAACAAAATTAGTCGGTTTTGTCAACAGTAAAGGATAGAGCGGTGAAAATTTTCGGTTCTTGGAAATTATCGTATTCGTTACCGCGCAAAATATTTATTGCTGCTTTCAAACCGCATATTTTTCTTAATTCAGATCAAAAGTATCGACAATCTGTAATGTATCATCAAACGGAAAAGCGATACATTGAATAACAGTCTTTTCAATTTATTTTGTATCGCTTACATTAATAAATTATAATACTAAAAATGAATGTATAATTAACATAAGTTAGGGTCTGTTACGATCAAGTGCGATAGAAAATGTACATTGAAGAAGGATCTTTTGTTAAATTCATGTCACGATCGACAAATAATTATAGCAGGAAATGTTAGCTTGATGCTTGTGATTGTTGCTGTACTTACTGCTGAGACTTATTTTGATGTTCATAATTTACAAGTCTTTGTCCCACGAGATATTTGTCATTTTTTATATGTTCATAAAGTTTTTTGAACTGTCGAATTTGGAAATAAATAACGATACACACCAAATGTACTAACACAAGGAAAGGATATAAACGTCTGGCGATAAGAATTTGCGTCTGTAAATTCGTGATAAAGAATGGGACTATTCCATGAGCTACGGCATAAGGAACAGCCAAAGCAAGACCGAAGCAACATATTACCGGAGCAGCCAATTCCGTAACGATGAATTTCAAATCTATTTCTCTAATTCCATCGTTGTATGCTCGTTCAATTGCCAGACGAATTCTCCAATCCGGTCCCATCATAATAATGGCGGTTGCTATTTTTGTATACAATACACCAAGAGCCCAATCTTGCCAGAGAAACAAAATAGGACTTTGTTCTAGGGGTACGCGTAATGGTACTATAACGACTAATTCAAGAAGGAGACCAAACAAAAGTGGTATTAGGCCAATAAGTAGGAAAAATGCTACCGATGCTTTAACACCTATGATTGCCGAATGTTTCACTCTATCCAAGAGAGCTCTTCGACCACGGGGTAACCAAGAAAATGCCAAGGCTAGTCCTCTTGCCGCGGCCCAACATAGATACGTTCCACAGGCTATGCTGTATACTTCGTGAACTGGTTCATATAAAAATACCACAGTTTCGTCCGTTTCTGAAATATTTCAAGCAACAATTGAAATAATTAAACCGAAGAAGTAGGTAGGTAGAGATGGATGGACGGATGGACGGACGGACGGACGGACGGACGGACGGACGGACGGACGGACGGACGGACGGACGGACGGACGGATGGATGGATGGATGGATGGATGGATGGATGGATGGATGGATGGATGGATGGATGGATGGATGGATGGATGGATGGATGGATGGATGGATGGATGGATGGATGGATGGATGGATGGATGGATGGATGGATGGATGGATGGATGGATGGATGGATGGATGGGGAACAGGGAAAATCAATAAACATTTTATGCATAAAGAAGCGAACTACTTACCAGAGCCGCTTAAAATACGTGGTAATACGGGTGGAGACGGAGCTGGAGCTCCGACCACCCATAACGCCATTACTTTGCGTCCAAGCCACACAGGGAGAATCATTGCTATTAGACTAGCAATAACAAGAGACACGCAAACACAAAACAAAAGACCAACTAGACGAGCAGGAAACCAGCGTGGCCTGACATATGGTTGGAAACCTGTTGGCACATCTCGTTGTAACAGTGCATGATGTGCCGCACCTAAGTCTGGATGTTGTGGTTCTTCGATTATTGCCGCTCCTGGATCCTCAGTTTGGTCTTTCAGAAGGTACGACTGAAGATCTAACATCCAGGCCACTACTCGGCACCAGCCTCTTATTAAATCTTTCAACCATGTACGGGAATGAGATTGTTCCAGCAATGCAGGAAGAATCACTTGCAGTAGTAGCAGCTCTAAAGATAATTCGCTGACCTAATTTGAAAATAAATTGACGGGTAAAAATCACATCGAAATAATACGTCGCAACATTCTCGTTAAACAAAAGAAATCATTCTTTCCTCTTTTCATTATTTTCTTACCTGAGCTTCATTCTGAATTGTAACAGTGTATGGTAAAAATCCTGGCCATGCCCATTTTAGAATTTTCACAGGTAACCATAACATTAACAAAATGGCAGTTCCAAATATGACTGCAGATGCTACGAGTCTTCTAACGTGTCTCAGAATTGGAAGATGTATCATTTCTTGGATAGGGGAAAAGTCAGGATCGTTTAAGTTCCTTAAGAACCAAAGTACCCCTGGCCGTAACACTTCCCGTAATAATAGAATAAACGAAGCAAAGTAATATATGTAAATCATTCCGACCAGCCAATGCAGAAACATCGACGTACCAGGAGCTAATCTGAACGAAGATTCTCTATCTTTAAGTGTAGCGTCGAACATTGCTAACGAACAAATGTCTAACCACCAGCCACAAACCAGAGGAAGTATGCCTATCTCAATGACGGACATTAAAGAAACCTTTACAATAATATAACATAAACCTAATAAATATTGAAAGTGTTGGAAACGTAAGGGGACCGCTAGTGTGTGAAGGACCACCAACCACACTCCAGTAACGCAATAACCACACAATGTAGTTACTAATCCTTCGAAGTGCGACGCGGCTGCGTATTCTTGTAATCCCAAACCAGCTATCGCAAAGCTGCCGATATAGTAAGGACAGAAAGCAAAGGCCTGAAAAAGAAAATATGACACTTTAAAATACCGAAGTTAATTGCTCTATCGTTTGGCTTAACGAACAGAAGTAAATACCATAATGAACAGCGTATTTAGCGAAACAACCCAAAATACGTGTTCAAGGAAAATGAGGGATCCGTCTAAGCCTAAAAGACGTTCCCAAGTCAACTCCTCTGCAGGTCTATCCCACTCCAATGGATTCCAGTTTGCTTCTTCAGCTTCTCCTTGTGCTTGACCTTGGGCTTCACCCCCCCTCCACGCCTCGCCTGCTACTCTTCCATTGACTTGTTCACCATCTGCACCCAATTCATCT